CCATAAAGGTGAAGGAGGAAGTGGAACAAAGAAATGTTTTTTTCTTTTTTTGCGGATGACTTGGAAGTAGAAACTTCTTTCACGTTGAAAAACTTTTTTTTGCACATCATACATCAAAACACACTGAGTAGTCTTAGTGAACTTCTTACTGCTTATAAAATTTGTAAATTTATGGAAGAGAACAAGGAGCAGTTTTACGGCTACTTTGGTCCATGCGAACAACAACAAAAAAAGTCAGTTGACTCTTGTGAAGCTTCGTTGTTTAGCTTTTCTCTTCAAATTTTTTATTCCAAAGGACTCGTTCCTTTAACTTCTTAATTTTTAGAAGCTTTATGTTTCCATCTCCTCTTGATTACCCTAAGTTTAGTAAACAGATAAAAATACTGGTTAGGATAACGTCAGCCTTAGCGCTAAACCACCTAATAAGTTGACGGCTAAATCCTACTAATAATTTGCTCAAGACTGCTGCAAGTTTGTTTCACTTGAAAGCAGTTACCCCCGAAGATACGACAAATAACATCACAACCTTGCCACCAGCTGTCTTACACTTAAGACGAGTCATTTGGGCCGACTCCGCCCTGATGCAACAGTTCTGAGCTTTGCGTTCAGTTTTCGCTTCAACTGCAGTGAATTCTACGCTGAAAAGACCCTTAAAACCAATCTGCAGTCTATAACAACTCAATATTTTTATTTCGTCTTGTTAAGCGTTGTACCTCTTATATCCGGATACTTGGTGTAATGGACGGAAATTTTGAACTGTATAGCAGCTATGCACGTATATATCCATATGATTCTGCGTAAAATGTGTCTACTTCAGAAAATCCTATCGAAGGTGTATGGCTTTCCATTGGATGCATTAATGTCTTTCTTCAACTAAATCTCTTTTTTTCGTGTTCAAAATATTTCTTTTTTTTGCTACGTGAATGAACAACATTTAAATTAATTAGAACTTTGATATTCTAGTCTTCTCCCTTTTGTTTTTTTTTCCCTCTTGCTCTTTAAGAGCTTGAAAAACAATAACAAAATTGATACAAAAACAAAAACAACACGAAGAAAACAGAAAGAAATGAAGAAATGTTATTTTTTCTGAAGTTCATATTGATTGTTGCTGAGAAATTGAAAGAAAGAACACAGAATAGATAAACACACATAGTTTTTCAAGCACCATCGATAGATGGATGCCAGCAAGAAGAAAACGAGAATGACAACTTTTCTGCTTTTTTCGACAGTTCTTTTCAGTTGTTTGTCCTCTGTTTTTATTCTTATTAAATGGATGAGAGGGATGGAACGATGTGGTTGATATGAGCAGAAAAAGTAATATAATGAAGAAGGTTATCTTCGAAACACTAAAGATGTTTTTCTTTCCTTTTCTGCAGGTAATTGAGAAAAAGATTTTTATTCATTCGGTTTTTTTGTTTCTTTTGCATACGGAATCGGTGAAAGAGTTGTTGAATGGATGTGAAATTCAAACCCTATTTCAAAATTATCAAGAATATTACGCGTAGAGGTTGGCCACAAAAATTTTTGCCTTAAATTTAGATTTTGTTTCATCCTTTGTTACTTCTTTTTCCTCTGTTTTTTTCCGCTCCCTTCCCCTCCCCCTCCCCTCCACCCCGCATCTCCATGGTTGTTGAACCATTTTCATGCCTATCAACAGCTTCTCAACGATGGACGGCAAGTTCGCCTGTCTCTAGCTTTTTTTTTCACCGCTTTGTGGAAATTGACCAATTTGTTTTCGCAAAAATGGAATTGGAACGTAGCAAAGAACGGAAGTGAAGAAAAAAAGAATTAAAAGTTGCAACTGGCATTACACTTTGAATTTTTTATTTCCATTTTGTGCTTTTTTCATTTTTTTTAGTGTAACTTTGAGTTGTTGTTGCTGTAGCTGATAAGCAAAGAAAGGCGTGCAAAAGTAAACCTGTCGTAGTACGGTGTGCTTGTAAAAAAATTTTGTGTTTCTAGTTTTCTGATGTTGTTTATGAAGGAATAAATTGAGCATTTGATGAAAGTTTTGTTCTGACCTATAAGGAAGAAACAGTCTAGTGGAAATAAAATTAGAAATAGTGGGAAAGATTGCGCCAAAAAGTTAGAACTTAAATAAAAATTTTTTGTTGTTTTCTCTTAAACGAAAAGAAAAAGGATGTACTTTTTTATTTTAAAATGACTTATTTATTTGCCAACTATTGTTGTTATTTCTGATACTGTTGAAAAAAAAGCAGGGTAAGAAAGGAATGCTTCATCACAGTTGTAAATCACTGTCTATTTTATCCGAATCAAATTTAGAAAGTTTTCTTAACAACAATTGCTACAAATTTTGTCAACTTTCGCGGATAATCTGAAAGAAGGATTGCAAGTGTCAATTTATTCAGCTAATCAATTAAGTACGAAAAAAAAACCATCTGTTCATTACTAGATCAGCACAGTTTTGGTTGTTGAAAACTTGCATTTCGACTCTCGTAGTCATTATCACCGTTATCAACGTCATTACTCTATTAATGAATTTGAAAAACGTCCATTTGTTTCAGTCACTCACGCAGCGCTTTGGTGACCATCATTTTTCACTGTGAACCGCTTTAACAGCCACAGAATAAGCAAATTTTGTCATAACTTAGTGTCAGTTTCCTCTTTCGATAACAATACTTTCATTTTTAGATATCATCTCCACCGCTAACTGAAGACAAATAAAACTATAAAGAAAATTTGCCTGTACTCCTGTGTTCGTTTCTGTGGTAAGGTGATTTTGAAATAGTAACTTCCTCCATTACAGCCATAATTTTTTCCTAACATTTTCATTGCAAGGACAAAAACACGTTTGAGCTACCAGCATTCGATGACGCAAAAAATTTATGAGCCTGATGTGATTAATGTACAGTTAGAAGCACTTTTTTCCAAAACTTTTCTATGTATGGACCTTCTTTTTTTTTT